TATTATTTGAATCTCAAAAAAATTATAAAAATATAATATTAATAAGAGAGTAATTATTTTAGTACTTAAAATTTATAAATTTGCACATGATATATATATTAATTTACATTACATAAAATCATATTTATTATTTAGAAAATAAAAACATTGTTTACAAAATATTCAAGAATATAATCTTAAATTGAATCTACCAAATATACTAATCTACATTTATACCAAAAATATTTTTAATTAGAAAATTATAGGAATAAAAATATAATAATGGAATAATCATTTTAAAAGTTAAAAATTATGAATTTGCATATGATATGTATCTTAGAAATTTTAATAGATTTGATATATTTTAAGTTGAGATTATACATTTTGTAAATTATTAATGGATATTTTAATTTACATAGATAATTTAATATTTAGTTGACCTCTTTGTTAATGTAAGAAAGTAAAAATAGTAAAATAAAAAATAACTGATATAATAATTAAAATATAATAGGAAAATATGTTTTGCATTTTGGACTCTTGATTGATACATTATCAATAAAATTCTATGATATTTATCCATCATATTATATTAATTGTAATATATTTTTTTTCATATACACCATTAAAATGTACATTTTCTATTTATTTACACATCATTTATGGTTATTTGACCTTCAATTTAATATTATTAATGTATTATGAAAATTTTATGTGTTTCCCTAGCGTATCTATATTTTTTCATCCATACCATGTGTTTCCAAAGCGTATCTATATCCGTATCTAAATCCAAGTTGTCTGATTCGATACTCGATACCGATACTTTAATCCTTGCTTGTACCTGAGTGAGAAAAGGCTGAAGTGGGAGTAGCAGATGTAGTAGCTGAAGGCTGAGATGATGATCTAGAAATACCAGCTTCATTCTCTAAGGCTGAGATGTAGTAGCTCAAGGCAGCCTGGACAGCAGCCAAGGCATCTAAGGATATGGTCCTTGTGTTGGAAGTGGATGCCCTGTTTGTAATAACTGCCACATTAGCACTTCCCTTCTTGTTTCCGAGTCCCACTGGCATCAGGTGGGGATGAAACTTCCAGCAAGTGTCCTTGGTATGTTTTGCCCATAAGTAGTTTCGGCTGATGTGAGGCTGCATAGAGTTGCATAGACAAGTCATCACCAAATAGTTCTCTTGAACCCATTTGGGATGTGATATATCATCCTTGGCTGGCTTCTGTGTCCCCAGTCACATAACCTAAGTTACCTCTACCTCCAATGGCCATCATTGTTGATTGGGCCCATTCCAAGTAATTGGTTCCATCAAACCTAACAGTGGTAACTTGAAAGGAATTTTCAGTCATGCTAATAGTCCCTAAAAGTCCTTCCCCTTGAGTTTTCAACTCACTTCCAGCCTTCTCTATTCTGTGTAGAGCACTAACGGATCAAGACTTCAAGAAAATAACCCAAAAAGAACTTCTTTTATGTTGAAACCCTAAGGAATTGAAAGAAAAACAACCCAGAACTTATTCACAGCTAGGAACAGTCATCAAGAACTGGTTCTCAGCTGATAGTCACCTTCCGAGAAAGCATCCACAGTCAATAATCAACTCCCCAGTTCATCATCAATCTGAAAATCAGTCTTTGAGTCCCAAAAACTGATCGTAGGGCTTTTTAAAAGGGAGAAAACAGTAGGGGAGACAAAGGTTTATCAACCGCTGCTCATAGAGAGGCTTAAAATACTTTTAACCAAGATTGACCTTACTAAAGATTGTACCTTTCCCAGAAGAACACTGGTTGCCACCTCAATTGAAACCCTAATCTTGGTCTCACCTGTTTTCTCTGATTCTTCTTGGTCACCGGGCAATCTCCAAGAATCTTTCAATTCCTTGGGCAGTCTCCAATACTCCAGCAACCTCCAAGAGCCAGGCACTACTACAGAAAATCCAGTTCTAAAGAGTTCTCATGCAGCCGACCAGATCAAGCTCACTTGAGAACCCTAATCTTTCTTTGCCTTGGTCTGATACCAACTTGAATAAAAGAACCAGAAAAGACTGTGTTTTCTGATGTAATTTAGAGAGAAGAAGAAGATAAGTCAACCTAGATTCAAAGAGAAGAAGAAGAGAGAAGAGAGAAGAGAAGAAAGAAGAGAAAGGGTCAAAGGGTGCGGATAGAATAATTCTGGCCACCCCACTAAATCTTATTTATATTCATGACTTTACAAGAAGAAGAATTACTCTAATACCCCTACTTTAAACAAAAGAAAATAAATATGGCCCAACCGGCCCAACTACCATAACTGTAACATAAAGGAAATAAACAGTCAAATAAAGTGTGGGGCTGGAACCACACACACTAATAGTCTATCAACTATCTCTACATGAACAAATGCAAAAAAAAATCAAATTAGGGTTTTACTAAGCTAGATTTGCTATTCCAAGTAAAGAATAACTCTTCAACCACCTAAAACTAGGGTTTCATAGGACCCTATAGGATGGGAGGAGAGAAACTTAAATTGCTACTCAATAGAAATCAAAGAGATTCCCTTTGATCCCCAAACACCAACTTCAAAGTGTTTCTAGGACTTGTAACATGATTTCTCCAGTTATCTAGGGTTTTCGGGAAAAATCTCCAAGAACCTGCCTTGGGCTTCAACTAAGGATGAAAAACTCCACAAAAACTCTCCAAAAACCCTTCTAATTGGGCTACATAAGCTGCTGATTGATCAGCCGATCAATTCTCCATACACATTGTGTATGGGCTAAGAAAGGAGAAAGATGTTAAAAGTGAGAACCTGCTCTGATACCAAGTTGTGAAACATGCATGCAATAATTCAGCAAATATAGAAAAAGAAAAGAAAAGGAAACGTTTCAGCAGAGGTTTTTGGAAGGGAAGGGAATAGAGAAGAGAAGAGTTTGATCCTTTTTCTCTCTAGCACAAGGTTCAAAGTATGGGAAATGCAATTGGTATCGGAGAGACAATTTTAAGAGGTGTGTCAAGATACACTTAGGATACACATGGATATGGACAAAAAATTAAGATACACATGGATACACTAAGAAATTCACATAAATCTTAAAAAACTATATTAATTACAATAAATATGAGTTTTATACGACTATAAATAAGCTATTTAAACATAAAAAGCATATTTCAATGATTTATGCAAACTGTGAAATATCGAGACATAATTGGAAACCGCTGAAAAATGATGAAAGAAGTAAAATGTTTGTATATGCACACACACCATAGTTTTTAAAGAATCAATATAATTTTTTAGAAAATAAGGCTGATTAGCAAATTGGACTGGTTGGACCATGACTAGATTGGGTAAAAAACTGGCCAAAACTACTGACCTGACTAGTCAAACTAGAAAACAAGTGAATCAGTCTCGATTTTAGAAAACCAACTGATTTTTTTTAATTATTTTAGCACATTAATGCGAACTTCTAAAGGCCATAACTTTTCGCTCAGATGTCCTATTAGGGTGACCTTTGTTTTTATTTTGGGTAACTTTTCGATATAGGTGCCTTATAAAAAATTGAAATTAAAATAAAAAATATATGTTATAGAAGAATATAATTATATATTTTGAATACATTATAATCCAAACATTGATGTTTATTATATATATTTTAATAATGAATTTTAGTTTTTATTGATAGTCATCCACTAAAAAGCTAGTTTAATTTAGAATTAAAATACATATTTATATGCCAAACACTTTTGGTATGGCATAGTGGTGGACTTGTAGTCATTACAAGCTAATGACTAGGGTACACATCCCTTTATCCCTTATTTGTGATTTTTAATAGGAAAGTTAGAGGCATGTCAAATTTAAATTCGAATTTGAACATTACCTTAAATGCACTATTTAATTTGCCTTTAATAGCGTTTAATTAAATGTGATAATTAATTAAGAGTATTAAATTTGAATTTGGAAAGTTACTAAAATTGAGGGAGAAAAAGGGAAATTAAATTTGATACTTCAAATTTGCCAAATTAAACAAGAGAAAGAAGAATATTAAATTCAAATTGTATCGATCGATACATGTAGTGTATCAAGTCGTATCGGGCTTGTATCAACCGATACAAACCCAAAACGATCTGATACAAGCCTGTATTGGACCGATACTAATGAAAACAAATGAAACATACAAATTCTGTATGTTCCGTGTATCGGATCCTCAACGAAACGCATTGCGAAATTTTAAACCTTGCTCTAGGCCCTCAAGATGTCTTTTATTCTCTTAATTCTAAATTGAGTACAATTCCCTGAATGCCCTTAATGGGGCAGCCAGCACTAAAGAAATAATAAAACAAAACAAAAGAGGCCCATAACTAAAAGAGCATAAACTTAAAACATAACTTAAAAGATAAAGACACTAAGACCCATTCGGCCTCATTACAAATGTGAACCCTATATCCAATCCAATCCGATGATCTGGCGGATCTCACAAAGATTAATCTGAACCTGAATTCGTTAATGGTGTTGGATATCTGAGTTTGATTCGATTTATAGGTCTGAGAATTTAGCAAATTATTAACAGGAAAAAAAGAACAATCTATACAAAGAAAAACAAAAAATCAAATGAAATAATATAAAAATGGGGATATACATGTCTTTTTAAAAAATAATCCAATTTGAAAATCCGATGGGGATATTCGAATCTGGCAATATAGGATCAAATTCAAATTTGAATTGGATCATGATCTGGTCCATGTTCAGAGGGTGCTCCTGCACTCATGCACGCCAGTAAAAAGAACTTGCATTGCAGCCCAGGGGAGCCCACCTAGCTATTGTCCAGTATCCATTATGAGGGGAGCTAGGATCTTTCGGGTCTGTCGGAAGGAAAGAATGAAAGCACACCACAGATACAAGACTTTTTTTTCACCAGTTTCTCAATCTCCACTTTGTTAAAACATTTCAACCTGTCATTGGCTTCTTCTATGTGATAAAGTTATTTGGTATACATTCATTCCTAGAAGATCTAGTTCTTTCGTTTCTGACACAGGTTTCTTGAACATGTAACAGGTGATTGAAAGAATAAATTGGATGGCAGATCGATCAGAGAAAGGCCTTTCTCAAAGTGGAGGTATTATGGTAAATTATATATATAGGTAATTTCTATCCATGAATATCAACTTTTTTGTTTTTGATAATTTCATCCCTGTTCTACCTAATACATGAAATCATGAAGTACTAAATTATGAAAGGGTGTAAATGAGCAAGCTAGCTTGGCCTGAGCCTGAGCCAGGCCATTAATTATTTTTGATGATCAAACTAACCCTGATCCTTTGTTAAATAACCATTTAGAAAAGAAAACAGGTAAAAAAATTATTCTTTTATCCTCTCCAATCCAAAGGCCCCAAGCCCATTTGGTTGAAGAGATGAACACCCAAATCTTAAATGGAGGGCTAGTATAGTAAATTTCATTGTCACACAATTTTTGTTCATGACAAATTCAAACGGAGGGGCTGTATAGTAAACATGTAAAAATTATTCATCTCTTGATGATAGATCTCTGACAGGTTTGAAGAGTTGGTGTAGCTTTAAGAGAGAGGGAAAAGTGGAGGGGAGTTTTAGATAATAACCATTTTCTTTTTTTAATGGACATTGATATTTATGGGCTCTATAATGGGGTTGCAATGGACCTAATATCAAAATATTAAGTAAACAAACGGAGCTCAAACTTGAAATAAAGAAGCCTGAGCTCAGCTATTCCTTCATGAAACCAGACCAAGTTGGGGAAGTCTCAGCTTATTTACACTTTACATCTCTGCTACGGGTGTTTATCAGTGGAGCTGCTATACATGGATGGAACCTGTGGGTTGGCCTGCAGCAATGAGTCCCGTCTTCTCAACTCATTCAATTCATTCCACCAGAAATACCTCCACCAAATCTGATAAACCTCAATGGGTAGCTGCATTGACTTTGAACAACGGTTTGTTAGGTCCTTGGTAACCTTCCATATGGTGTGATGAATTAGATGATTATGTTCATGTGATGGTCATGTGGAGGTTATCCAATGTTAAATGCTTTTATTTGTAGACCTATCATAGCACATTCATGCATCAAATGTGTTTCAGTGCTGCTTATAGTTCATCCTCCAATATTCAATGGAATCCTAAATATCAATTTCTCTGAAAGTTTTCCAGATAGATGACATGGATGACATGCAAATGATACATATTGGAAAATTTTACAGGCTAGACAAAATTGAGGAGAATGCTCAGTCATATTTTGCCACAGGGAGTATCCAGGCTTCATCTGATCTTCGCCGTTATCTTCAGGTAATCTCTTTATGAAAAAAAAGCTTTCCTGCACCTCTAGGTCAATGAGAAATCCCATTCTCTACTTGCGTATGGATCCTAACAAAATCATCCCCACCTCCCCCATTTCCGTTGTATCTTTCTTTTGCAGCCAGAGAAGGAACATGAAGAGAAAACAACATAGTAGGAGTGTAGAGAGAATTCAGCGATTATTTTAGTTAGATTTGACATTGGTGAATGGGCTATAAGCTATATATGTATATATTAACGATGAGAATTAAATATATATATATATATATATATATATTATATATATATGTGGTTGGCTTATGAAATTTTCAATAGACTAAAATACTCCATCTCTAACGTTTGAATCAGAGGCGCAAAGGTAAATATGTAATTTTGTTTTCTCATTTATTGCTTATTACAAAAAAAAAGCTTTCCTGCACCTCTAGGTCAATGAGAAATCCCGTTCTCTACTTGCGTATGGATCCTAACAAAATCATCCCCACCTCCCCCATTTCGTTTGTATCTTTCTTTTGCAGCCAGAGAAGGAACATGAAGAGAAAACAACATAGTAGGAGTGTAGAGAGAATTCAGCAATTATTTCAGTTAGATTTGACATTGGTGAATGGGCTATAAGGTATATGTATATATTAACGATGAGAGTTGAATATATATATATATAAGAGCAATGCTAAATATGTAATTTTGTTTTCTCATTTAATGTTTACTAGTAATTAAGCACATGCGTTGCATACAAGGAAATTTTCTTCATATTAATTATTTGAATTTTAGATATATCATAGATAGAAATTGAAAATTAACAAAAGTAACAATACGATTAAAGATAAACTTAAATATTTATTATTCAATTATGACATCATGGGTTTTTTTGAAAGGTTAGATCATTGACCCACATCTAGATAAGAAAATAACTTTGTTTTTGGATTAATTTTAAATTAAGGAATATTATAGTTGGAGCTGGTTGTACATTTAAAATTAGGCTACAAGTTGGTCCATAAACCAACAAAACTCTAACAATCTACATTTCAAATTATAAAAACACTTGCCATGTCATTGGAGGTTTTTGTGGCTATTGCTAACATGTGACTCTTAATCCATGCTGGACACAACAAAAAACTTATATTGAAATTGACCTTTAATGTTGAGTGATTAGAAAAAAAAAGTTTTTAGTTTCTCTCTCTCTCTCTCTCACACACACACACACACACATTCATCTTTATCTTCTCAATGATTATGTGATTTGAAAATAAATAAAAATGGTTTTTGGTTTCTGTATTTATGTTCTCTCAATTAATTTCTCTCATTCTCTTTATCTACCGTTTTCTCTCAATCTCTTGTTCTCTTTTTCGATTGATCTTTCATTCTCCCTTAATTTCTATCATTCTCCCTCAGTTTCTCTCCCGCTCCTTCTCTAGTTTTTTTATTTTCTTACATACTTATATGGTATTAATCAGATCGTATAAAAGAACATGAGACTAACTTGGTATGGTTAAAAAATTATTACACCAATTTAATAAAAATTCACAAGAACCTCTTAACTATAAAATTTACACCAATTGGAGAACAATAGAGATTAAGGAATAAGGAAATATTGATCGAGAGGAAGAGTGAGGGAGAATAATGAGAAATATTGAGGGAGAACAATAGAGAGAGAGAGAGAGGTTTTGATTTGGCTATAGATCGAAGTTGAGAGAGTGGGAGAGACAGAGGGAGCGGGATATCGAGAGATGACTGTGAGAGTGAGAAGCACATAAGCCTCCAATGGGTTAAGTTTTTTGATGTGTCCAATATGGATTAAGAGTCCTATGTTGGCAACAAGCACATAAGCCTCCAATGACATGGCGGAGGTTTTTATAATTTGAAATGTAGAGTCGATTGCCAGAGTTTTGTTGGTTTCTGGACCAGCTTGCAACCCAATTTTAAATATACAATCGACTTTGACTATAGTTTTCCCTTTTGAATTATATATTTTCATTTATATTATATAAAATATTTTTTATTTATCACACTTAATTGTTTGTCTATGGTATCATTTGACTCAAACCATTAACTCACCATCTAAAAAAAATTGTTTGATTTCTAGGTTAAGATTAAATTTTGTATTACATTTCCATCATTGATAAAATTATTTCTTATGTATAAAACTTTTTTTTTGTTTAATATAATGAATGCACAATATTAAAGATGTACCCAATATTTTATTTTTTTATAAATATATAACATTAGATATGTGCTCAAAATTTTCTCTATCTTTTTTTTTCTAATTTTTTGCGATTCTTTGTATTTTCTATTATTAAAAATTTTATTATTTGACTATGACATCATTTCATTTGTAGATAGATTTTGAATTTGGCATTCCATTTTCATCATTAATAAAAATACTTTTTACATTTCATAGTTATTTATTTTAATTTTTATTATTTAATTATGACATTATTTATTAATCCATTTGACCCCAAATGGTCGAATTGTTTACCCATCACCGAGTGGGAAGAAAACGGTTTTGTTTTCAAATTACTTTCCAAAATATTTATTTTTATATTATTAAAATTAATATTGTAGATTTAATTACAAGAATTTAATGATGAAAAAGATATATCTTAAATATATGATTTAATTAGAGAGAATAGGAAAACATTTTTATTTCCAATTGATTTTAAATTTTACATTCGATCATTAATAAAAACATTTCTTATTTATCATACTTATTATTGTTTAATATGTACGTTAAAAATGTTCCCAATTTTTTTAATTTTATTATTTAATCATGACAACATGGATTAACCCATTTAACCTAAAATGATTTAATTTCTTATCACCACCTAGATGAAAACACTATTTTTGCTAGGCAGATTTTAAAAGTATATGCTTTTATGTTATTGGAATTATTGATTTATTAAGTATGGATTTAATTAATAGAACTTAATGATGAGAACAAACAAAAAATGACTTAAATATATGATTCAATGAATATGAATGTAAGTTAATAACTTAATTTTGGATTTAATGAGAGAGAATTGAATGCATTGATATTGATGTAGCACAATCCGATCACTCCTAGCTGGCGCTTGCGTGGCTCCTGAGAGGTACCTGAGACGAGAGGAAAAATGAACTCCCGAGGGGTTTCTCGACGGGAATGCTCCGATGCTTAAGTTAGTATTGTGTGCAAGAAGCGAAAGGAGAACGAAGGCTAAGAGTGAGGATAGTGCGTTATCACTATGTTCAGGAGATCGAAGATTCAAGAAGCAGTTTTCCTTCTATCCTGAGGGCTTTTATAGGAACATTCACATTAGGTCGGACATAACCGCCACTGGGCTCCTGCCATGGCCGTTACTTGCCAGGGCTGTGCAGGTGGCCGTTGTGGTGTACGCTTCGCCCAAATGAGTGACATGTTTCCAAAGTGGCAGGCACGCCTTTGCCTGTCGAGAAACGTGGACGCAGACTGTCGAAAGGACTGGGACTGCGCCGTCAGTAGAGGATATGGCGCAGTTTGACCGGTACGGTCTGTCAGTCGGAAGCTTCCTGGAGGGCGCTAGTGCAGCTCGTTCACGAGCTATCTCGTAGCGAATTGGGAACACTCCAGGATTACCCTTAGTGAAATTGGTCCTCGGAATGACTTGTCTGTTAGGGAGCTCGGGCGAGCTAATAACTTTAGCTCGCGAGCTACACTTGCCTCGGAGCATCTCTTCGAAGATAGCACGGGGAACCCGGGGTTTGCCTTGCGGCGGACTCCTCCCCTCATGTACTGTAACGTAACGGGCTGCTTCGTGGGCTTGTCACTTGGTCGTTCCGGGCTCCTACGCTAGGCTGTCGCTCATGCTAAGTCGACCTCTGCATGTCACCGTTTCATAGGTTGGGTCAAATCATCCTTCATCAATTGTCCCCCACTCCTCGAGCTAAGAGTACCGCCTTAGCGCGGGGAGTTTATGAAGTGCGATGGACTGATTTGACCGAAATTCAAACTTGATTGACTGCCCTCATTAAATGCATTTGCGGGAATCAAGAGATTTTCTGACTTTTCGAATTCCGAAAGCGTGCTGAGGTGGCCTTTAACTCCGAACGTCATGCGGCTGCGACTACCTTAACTATGGAAGACGTGCCGCCAATCGCCTTCGATTTTCAGAAGGCGTGCGGTCAGGGCGCCCGTAGATCGTTGAATTTGCTTTGATTCGGGCCGTCAATTTGAAAGGGTGGAGACTATAAATAGGGGGCCCCCTTAGGCTCTACTTTCTCCCATGCCATTTTGGTGTCTTTGGATTCTGAGGTTGCGCACTTCACCTAGTCTACCCGAGTTCCTCAGTTTGCTCCGTTTCGTCTACTCTGGTGAGTCCCAATTGCCGTCAGCCATGTCTGGGTACCCATATCATACCTATCACAGGGGCGATAGCTAGGATGATGATGCTCCCTCGAGCTCGGGGGGTGTCTGGGAGTAGATCCCGGAGGCTCAGGAGGCCTCTGGCGACATGGCGTCTACTTCTAGGGAGAGGGAGCCTGATACCTTTGGCCCTTCCTTAATGACAGCGGAGAGACTCAGGTCTCTGATCCGTTACTTTCGCCTCCCTGGGGACCTGGTTTACAACCTCCCTATTGGTAACTTCCATTGGGAGCATGGTCCCAATGACATAGTAATCTTTCAGGAACAACTCAAGGCTGGCTTGCGTCTCCCCCTGCACCCCTTGATAGTGGAGGTGTTAAATCACTTCAACGTCACTATTGACCAGCTTCATCCCAATGCCATTCGAAACATGGTTGGGACTATATCCCTATGTCACGAGTACTGCCTTCCTTTGGACCTTGATATTTTTGTCTCTAACCTTTCTATAAAGAACGCTGCTCCTGGGGTTCCTCCGGAGAGACGCTTTTATTACCTCTCTCCCCGCCGCGACTATAAGCTCTTGTACGAGCTGCCGAATAAGATTCCCGCTTGGAAGTGGGATTACTTTGTGGTCCGTAACCCCGAGGGGTGGCCCTTCCCCACTGCTTGGAGGGGCGCCATCCAGGACCCCGGGGCCGAGCTGGACCCTAAGATTCGGAAAACGATGCTGTCCTGGGCGTTGGTAGGCTTCCTTTGCTCGGACTACTTGACCGAGGAGAAGCTCGTGCAGGTAGGCTTGAGCCTGGGAAGGTTGGCCTTTTATGTCGCGTAGTGCCTTGTGACTATTGTGTACACGTGTATTTTGTTTCTTGTCGGACTAAGATCTTGTGGTCTTTTGGCAACCACCATGTCCAGTGCCGATTCACGCCGCTTTCTCTCGGGCAGCCAGAGGCACCATGCGAAGAGGACGCGCCCCGACCGGACCCCTCCTTCGGGATGTACTGAGTTTGGGTCTGCCGAGCCGGTCCTACCCTCTCCTCCGCCCGAGGTTCCGATGCCCCCTCCTGAGGGGGCTAGTGGGATTAACCCTGGGGTAAACGAGCTCCCTTAGCCGAGGGAGGCCCCCTATAATCCCCTTCAGCCCCGTCCTTACCCCCGGTTCCCAATGGGAAACTGGGAAGGGGTAAATGATTATTTGGTGGCTCACCGGAGGAGTCGAAAGGCAATCACTAATGACAAGATCGCTCAGTGGGGAAACATGGAGCCTGGGGATCTCTCCGCATTCGCCTCTGCCCATTGCATGGTGGTA